ATATATACCTGGACTGGATTATTTAATATAATTATTTAAATTATAAAAAGCAGTTTATAATTAATAATATTCTATTAGCTGAGAACAATCAGTTTTAGTAAGAAGAGTAGTATAATAATAAACAGTATTTAAAAATATATAATTAAATTACATAATATAATTAATTAATTTTATTTTATCTATTTATTTTTCTCTATACTTCCTCCTTTCCCTCCTCATATTCGATATTCTAGTCTGGATGCACCAAATAAGACATATTTAATCAGCTCTCACATATATAATTACTTAAATTCAGGTGTAGGAGTTTACTTATTAAATAAAATTAAATATAATAAATAAAATATTATTAATATTTAACTAATTTTAATATTAATAATAAAATTAGAAATATATATAAAATTTATTTTTCAAAAAATATATACGTGTATCCAGTCTTCTATTTTAAAGAATTATATTTATAAAATTTATTAAAAATTCTATTTAGCTAGATTCAGAATACTGATATTTTTATTATAATTAATAATAAAAAAAAATATAAAAAGTTAAAAATTTTAATTAATTACTTATCTTACAGCCGTCTGTAATATAAAATTAAATAATTTATGTAAAATTAAATAATTCATATTAAATAAAATAAATTATATATATTATTCTACTAGAAATTAAGGGATTTTCTTTTCAGATATAAAATTATTATATAAAGAATTTTAAGGATTTTCTTTTCAGATATAAAATTATTATATAAAGAATTTTACTTACTTTAATGCTTTTGTTACTTTATTTGATTGAGATTTAATTTCTATAATAAAAGTGTTACATTACTAAGCTAATGATTTTATATATATATAATTCTAGATTTTTAGCCAGGGACTCTGGCCGAGCCCCGGAGATCTTTATGAGTATGAGAATTGATTAAACTAAATTAATAATTTTAATATATAACTCATAAAGCCAGTTGGATATACATAATTCTGAGGTTAATATAAAATCTTACCTCACTGTTTTGAAATATAAACATAATGTTAAAATAAATATAAATATAGAAATTGAGCCATCTCTGCTTTCTAGTATTGTAACTAAATAAAATCAATGTGGTTAACTTGTTATATATATATCTAAATACATATATAACATCTTAAAGATTTGCAGGTATCTGCGGTAATTATAGTATTATAGTCCCATCTTAACTCTTTTGTTTCCTGACAGTAGTTCCTTATATCAGTTAAACCAACAAACCAACGATTTCTCATCACCTACTTTGTTCATAATAATCTGTAGTAGTTTCTAAATGCATGAAATTGAATATTATTATTCAAGTCACGATTTAGACAGGTTAACCGAATGAATGAATAATGATCAACTAGCTTTACGAAATGCCCGAATATGATAATCTGATATAATATAATCATCCGTCGCCGACCTAACCCGTCAGAATACGGCGGCCGTAGCAACGAGTACATCTCACCATATGACAAACATTATCAGTAACCCATAATACCTATACAACAGTTCATGTACCCGATTGATTTCATAGGTTAGGTCCGAGAGAATACGTAAATATATGCGAACTTCTTCATCTCTTGTATGTCATCCACCTGAACAACCTTCTCATCATTGAACATGACCCACCGAGTACCATTACTTCCTGGCACGGCCTTACGCACAATTGCGACATAGTGCCTGTTAAACGTTAGTTCATCCCGTACAAGTTAGCAGACATACATACCCAGCATGCACAGATGAGCCTTTGTGGCACACTATTGATTGCAATTGGTATTTTGCTGGCGTGGCATCAGAGTCTAGATGTATATCACTGGATTCAGGGATGTCAGAGTCTGGACCGATGTCCATTGAATCCTCCGGATGGGTGAACACCCAATCAATTGCCCTGTTGAGATCCCCCTCCGTCGCTGCCAATGCCCTCCTAGCATGACCAGAATTTATGCCCATTTCAGTCAACTGCGCAACCTTAGCTGGGTCTTGCTGGCTCCCTGAGGTGCTGGTAACCACCTTATCGAGCGGCTCGTCGATATCAGGGTCTTCCATGTGAGCAAAGAGCCAGTTCATAGCAGCCTCAACATCCGAGTTGCCGGTCACATAAAGCGCCCTTTCGCACCTTGTATTCGGAAAACCCATGCCGACAAGCTGTTCCATCGCAATTTCATTGGGCTTAAACGTATTTTCAGGTTCCTGAATGTCAGGGAGAAGCTCCTCATCTGGATTGGGCCCGGAGGAAAGGTAAGTACCAAAGTCTATTGGCTCCTCATCAACTTCTACCGGAATATTCAACTTTGTGGGTACCCAATTTATCAGTTCGAACCTCCGCGCATTAATAACCAGTTTCTGCGGTAGGGTTTTGAATGAAGATTGCTTATTGAACCCCTCCGTGGAACCGCAGGACGGGCAGCTGAATTCAACAACTTCCTCGGCTGTAAAAGCATCCAGACATTCTGCTAGAGTGACACTCTCATACTCGTTTGTGGAGCCAGAAGCATTTGCATCGGGGAGCCGACGAGCGGGAACAGGGATCGAAATGTTATCTTGTGCGTCAGCCCTGTAACGAACCTTCTTGCACTGCAAACATTGGAGACGCTGTTGCATAGAGAAGCCGAACGAGGTGATTGGGTTATCTAATCCTCCGGGATGCTTGGACAAGTTTATCTGCTTGAAGAGGTGAAGCATGAACTCGAACGCATCCTGTTGTCTCATCGTAGAGAATTCTTCATGATTACGGCCAACGAGATGCTTGAACATGGCGGGTGCTAAGCCCTTTTGATGAGGAACTTCAGCTGAATCAGGGGAAGACCTGACATCGCTATCGGGTCTGGAGTATCTGCCAGAGAGGATGCCGTCGGCCAGCTTCCGCAGTTGGGTTTCAAGGTCCTCCGCTGGCCTTTGCGTGTGCGGCGGCTCGCTGTTAGGATGGTAATATCGTTTTTGGAACTCAGGCAAGGCGAAAAGGCATTGGACAACACTTGAGAGATAACAACTGTTTCCTAAGTTAGTCAAGCCGGTTAATCCTGGCCCAAACACCGGTGTAAGTTCATGGCCGTCCTCAGAAGTCATCGAAAATTCCCATCTCATATTTTGCTCAACCTGCATCTCCATAAGGCTTTTCTCTGTCTTCTCACGGCCCGCTAGATTGATGCCCCAATTAGCAAGATGAGTAGCCAGGTTAGGATCGGTCCTTTCTTCGTTGCATCTATAGCAGTACACGTCTGCCGAGCCATCTGCAGTTATAGAACCCAGCTTCACTGCAACGGCATGCGATTTTATGTCAGAATGCGCAAGTGCATGCGAGTTTCCTCCAACTCCGCCAAACTGACTGCGACCGCAGCCAAGGTTGCCGCATTCTAGACATAGCCAGAGGTTCTCTTTCAGGTTACACATGGAACACTGGACTAGCTCTGCCCTCCAATTGTGAGCATTATGATAAGGTTAATGCAGGGGAAGAGGAGCAACGCACCCTTAGATTCAATCTGTCTTGACGCTCCCTGGATTAGATTTATGGTATGCTCGCAGGGGATGAACTCCTGCTCCCAGGCCTTGACTTCCTCTCTTTTGGAGAAGGTCATCGCTTTCATCACGCCGTCAATTACAGCTGGCAGCCTACCTCTGGATGCATCGAGATCATTCTGACAGCAAGGATAACAGACAACACGTGTTTTCGTGACATAACGGTCCTCATCGGTTTCAGCGGCGATTGCAAGCTTCGAAATCTTCTGTGGTGGCTCATCCCTCTGTAATTGCACCCTGTCAATCACATGCAACCAGAAAAATATAATACAAACAAGTGACATTGGCACACACCTGGACGTTTTTACGTGATCTTTTAATATTGAGCGCTAGAGGGTGACTGCAACGTTCATAGTGGAGAAAGGCATGATTTCTATCACCAGCGCAGCCTCCATTGAAACATGTTAAGCAAACATTAAGACCATGTTCCTCATCCTGGATATTTTGTTAGGTTTCGAATTGATAGGACAACGATGGGTGCGCACTATTGAGTCGAAACACTGTGTACAGTCTTCCCGATATACAACCTGCGACGAAGCTGGAATCCTCAGCCCTGCGATATAGATATGGTTAGTTACCTGTATGAGCACCGTACTCCAGCTTTAACAACAGACGTCACTGACCTTCAGACGTGACATGGCAACAAGAAGCCATCTTGAGTAGAACTGAAAGCTAATATGGAAGCCTGATATAGCTTATTAGATAAAAGCAATCAGTCCGGAGCCAAGATGCAATGACATTCAGCAAAAGAGCATGCGTCCTTTCCATACAGAGAAGTTATTGTATGAGGATAAGTTGGCAGGTGAAGTTCTTCAAGATCTGCTTTGCCGAAGCTTTGACTGTCAGGTATGTAGAAAGGTGGGGCAAAGTGGGAGAGAGATCTTCATCCTAGATAGTGTATTGTGTAGACGGAGTACCAGTTTCTTTATGGGGTGTTACGGCGTATTACGACATCTACTCGGTTTTAGACCATTAAACACGTAATATTTGCATTCCGAAGTGGGGTAGATGCTTAACGCGCTCCTACCGCGTACTACTCCGGGTCGCGTCTCCATTCGTTGTTTATGCAAATGTCGCTCCAGCAGTAACAAGATTGTACCAGAGCCATCAAAAGCGCCACTACTACTTGTTCATCATTCTACGCTCTGAATCAACACCTCCCAGAGGCAACTGTTTGTGTGTTTCTAACATCATAAGTCTGTTGGACGGAACAACGTTCCCCTGAAACTATTCCAGATGTCTTCAGAAGCAGCATCTCAAGTCTCCGTTGGGGCACTCAGGTCAGTTTCCTGGAACTCACTGTGCATTATCTCACTAATATCCCTCAAGCGCTATCTTCGATGATACAAAGCCTCAAACGCGTGAGCCTGTTGTTCAGTGTGTCCAGATAAAGCCATTGCCAGCTCAGCAGAGCCACCCGGAACGCTACCGAGCTGTATTCAGTGATATTTCAAATTATGTGCAGACGATGCTTGCGACCCGTAAGTGTGCCATAGTTCTAATGGATTGCCAAAGAAACTGCTAATATCCTTGATCTTCCAGAATTGAACCCCATGGTTTCTAGTAAGCTATTACGGAAGGGGTGTTTCGTTCGCCTGAAGTCATTCCAAGCGAACTCCGTGAAAGGCAAAAAGTAAGTGACCACAAACGTCTTCATCACCAATAGTATACCTGACCTACGAGGCAGGATTCTTATTATTCTCGACCTTGAAGTCTTGGAGGGACTAGGAGAGGCCGAGAAGATTGGCGATCCGAAACCACTCGAAAGTAAAACAGATGAAGACGAGAAGCACCAGCCCACTACAATCTCCAGCAATGGTTTCTATGGATCGAAGATATCAGGAGCACAGGTCCAGTCAAATACCGGAGTGCAGTCAGCACGACCTGTTTTGGCCGCAACGCATGCTACTATATATCCCATCGAAGCTATTTCACCATATTCTCACAAATGGACGATCAAAGCACGCTGTACGAGCAAAACAAATATTAGGACCTGGCACAACAGGAATACCGAAGGGAGGCTCTTCAGCGTTAATCTACTGGACGACAGTGGCGAAATACGAGCTACTGGATTTAATGACCAATGCGATATGCTGTATGACGTCTTCCAGGAGGGCGGTGTATACTATATTTCCAACTGCCGCGTGCAGATTGCGAAAAAGCAGTTCACGAACCTGAACAATGATTATGAGCTCACTTTCGAAAGGGATACGGTGGTTGAAAAGGTCAGTCAGAATGCTCAGTTCAAATTGCTCTCTTAACTTACCATATCGCATTAGGCAGAGGATCAGACCGATGTTCCCCAAGTTCGATTCAATTTCACTTCTATCGGTGACCTCCAATCGGTAGAAAAAGATACTACAATCGATGTGATAGGTGTACTGAAGGAGGCCATGGATGTTACACAGATCACATCCAAAACTACAAACAAACCCTATGACAAGCGTGAGCTAATCATGGTTGACAATACTGGGTTCTCCGTTCGCCTGACCATCTGGGGCTCTACGGCGCAGAAATTCAATGCCTCGCCCGAGTCTGTGATAGCTTTCAAAGGTGTGAAGGTCTCTGACTTTGGTGGGCGAAGTCTGAGTTTGCTGAGCTCGGGTTCAATGGCGGTTGATCCTGACATTGAGGAAGCCCACAAGCTCAAAGGCTGGTATGACGCACAAGGTAGGGATGAGAATTTCTCTTCACATGCTTCCTTATTAGGCACAGCCTCATCAACGATGAAGTCGGATCAATTCAAGACCATCGCCCAAATAAGAGAGGAGCAATTGGGTATGTCGGAGGAGGCGGTTTACTTTTCGCTGAAAGCAACAGTCATCTATATTAAGCAGGATAATATGTCTTTTGCTTATCCTGCTTGTCTCTCAGAAGGTTGCAACAAGAAGGTGACCGAGCTTGATCCTGGTCAGTGGCGCTGTGAGCGCTGCGATAAGACTCACCCCCAACCTGACTACCGCTACATAATGCATGTCAATGTCAGCGATCATACCGGCCAACTTTGGCTGAGCTGCTTTGACGACGTGGGCAGATCGATGATGGACATTTCGGCCAATCAGTTAATGGAGCTGTTTCAAACGGACGAAAAAGCAGCTGGCGACGTATTCCAGGATGCCAATTGCCGGACCTGGAATTTCCGATGCCGTGCCAAAATAGACCATTTCGGCGAACAACAACGGTAAGGCGATCCGCTTTGTGGCTTAGATGGCACTGCTAATATCAACTCTCTACCAGTATACGGTATCAGGTATCCTCGGCCAAACCGATTAATTATTCCCACGAGGCTGGACGCCTTGCTGATCTGATTGGATCTTACACTGTATCTTGAATATTCTTTCAGCATGTCGAAGGCTTCTTAAGATTCCGCTTGCAAACCTTGTGCATTATATCATAACACTTTTCAACGACACATGTCCAATTGTGGCTTTGGGTTTGCGCGACATCGGCCGCTATTACTGAGATGGAATGCATGCCTCAAATAATGATTAATTCTGAAAGTTGCTGCTACTAGGTGAACAAAGAGAATATAAGCCAATGTTGATGCTGTAATACCACACTTGACTAGCAATAGCTGTGGCTTGGAATTACAAGAATAGCCACGCTGATTTGACGCCCGCATAAATTTCATTGGGAGTCCGGACGAGGGAGACTTTTGACGAATAGCGGGAATTTTCTGAATAGTCACGTACGAAAGCAGCTGAACTTAATGTTCATACACACATAGTGAAGGCAATTTCGAAAGATATTGGGCCGTTATTGATCCTCATAAACCCCTTACTGCTGCATATGTTCCAATTCCAGCAGTGTGTCCGAATCTTCCATTGGAACCTGTTGCATTCTATTTGCGCATTTAAATATACATACGTAACCTGCTAAAGAGCATATGACGAACACCAGAAGGTCATCAACTAGATCGCAGCGAATTAATAAAGTAATTAGTGTGTGCTGTTTATCTTCAACTACCCCGCAGGTAAGTAGTTAACTTTAGACTAGTAAGTTAACGTAAACTACAATCGGGCGGCCCATCTAATAATGCCATATAAAATCTACTTTTATAATTCAATATATCTCAACCATTTTTGGCCTGTATTAGACCTCGTTCCTAATATACAGACTGAAATAATAATAAGCTTTTTTATTTTTTACTCTTTATTTGTTATTAACTTCTTTTCCGGATTTTCATAATTATATATAATAGCCGGTAATATAGAATACCTGTATTTTACTTGTATCTTAAGATAATCTATATATTTGAAATTTAAAAATCTTTAAATTTTTTTTTAATAGGTCTAGTATATTTATCTTCTAGTTGTTAATCTATATATAATACATTATAGGCCTATTGACGATGTAATTATTGAGGTATAATGAATTTTAAACAAGATATATTCTGTATGCTTGTAAGAGACTCTTCTAGGGGAAAAAGTTAATACAAGACCATAAGCTCTCATTACCCGCAGATACTCTGCGGACCCCTAGAGTCCCCTATATATATTCAGGTACACACGGAACAAGGCAGGGATTCTTGTAAGGACTCACTTTCTTACAATGCTATTACAAGATGGGCCCCGCGATTGTGGTTTATGTTACAGCTTTGTCCTTATGACTAATTGCCCTCGATTTGATGACAAATGATGACGCTGAATGCCGTACTGCACAACCGAGGCGCATAACCAGAGAGCAGAATAAAAACCGTTAGGAGAAACTTGTAAAAACAAATTTTTAAAGAGTCAAGCAAAGATGGGGAGCATCATGAAAGCCATCGGTTAGTTGCTTTGCCTAGACTCTCGAGCGTGATTTGCTAAAAACACCCAGATATCCAAGGGGGCAAAGGAAGTGCCGATGCTCTGTTCGTTGACCAGATCCCAATACCAAAGCCCAGTCCTGGCCAGGCTTTGGTCAAGATCAAAGCATTCGGGCTAAACAGAATGGACTTGCTCCAGCGCGAGGGGAAATACCCTGTTCCTCCGCAAGCTCCTAGCACCATGGGTGTCGAATTTTCTGGAGTAATCAAGGAACTTGGCGCAAACACAAACAATGGCTTTCAAATTGGTGACAGTGTTTTCGGCCTAGCCTATGGCGGTATGTGCCATCCATTTTGATAGGGTGTGTAAGTATTCATTACATTTTAACAGGGGCCTATGCGGAATACATCGTTGTGTCGACCAAGATGTTAATACACAAACCCTCAGGGTTGACATGGGAGGAGGCTGCAGGAATACCGGAGGTATGCTCGACCTCCAACTTCCCGGAAACCAATCCATAATAACCATGACACCATCTCCTTAGACCTGGATAACTGCAAGCCAGGCGCTCTACCTGATCGGTGAATTTAGCGCTGGAAAGTCCGTTCTTTGGCATGCAGGGGCTTCATCCGTATCAATTGCTGGGATCCAACTTGCAAAGATTGGCAAAGCATCTGCTGTCTATGTGACTGCAGGTTCGCAAGAAAAGATTGACTTTTGCGTACATGAACTCGGGGCTACTGCTGGTTACAACTACAAGACTCAAGACTGGGCCTCAGAGATTCTGAAAGAAACGAATGGCCGTGGAGTCGACATTGTAGTCGATTTTGTGGGCGCCACACATTTTCAAGGTAATCTTGACGTGGCCGCACGGGACGCACGTATTGTCCAACTAGGACAGATGAGTGGTTCCATTTTGCCTGCCAATACTGACATCAGTGGAATCCTGAGGAAGAGATTGAGGTTTGAAGGCAGCACTCTTCGAAGCAGGGATGAAGACTACCAGGGGAGACTGCGTGATCTTCTGGTGGACCATGCTTTACCCAAATTCAACGACCAAACTTTCAAAGTCTTCATCGACAAAGTTTTTGCATTTGAAGAAATCGCGGATGCCCATAGGTTGCTCGAGAGCAATCAAACCAAGGGAAAACTAATATGCACAATTGACTGAATGCAAATTGACCCGGTTGAGAAGCCAGCAGCTGACTCAAAGGTGGAAGTGGACACAGTTGGCGTATATACAAATAAATTAACAATGAGGTCACTACGAAGGCAGCCAATGTAGAGAACGTAGGTCTAGTGTAGACATACTATTGTATTGGCGAACATACCCCAATGAGTGCCCGCAAATTTAAGGTTTCCCAAATGGTCTCTGGGCCTTTTATTGTTCTATTTTCGAGTGCCACTGAGCCATTCTGGGCGTTCCTAATTTGAAAACCTCGGGAATATGACTATGTACAGACTACTACGACTACTACGACTACTACGACTACTACGACTACTACGACTACTACGACTACTACGACTACTACGACTACTACGACTACTACGACTACTACGACGACGACGACGACGACGTACTATTATTGCGACGGAGTAGTTCTACTATGTAGGACTCAAAGGCTAGATTGACATTCGCGGTGCAGACCGGACTAACTGGATTGGGATTAATGAGTGGGGCTGAACAGCACTAGGGCAAGAGCTTTAACTATATGGGGTACTTTATCCCGGAGCAAGGTTTTGCTCCAGACGGGAAAGGCCAAAAAGAAAAAGAAAAAAAAAGGTCAATTAAAAATAAAAGTATCCTAAGGGCAAATCGAAGGCGCCCTTAATATTCTATCGAGACGCAGCTGATTTTCTTTTTTTGCTTTCCCCTCCTTTCCTCTTTGTTACAAAAGATCGTACACATATATTCCACACCTAAAGTTGAGAAAGTTTAAGGCAACAACGAAGACAACATGGCCAAGCGTGAACTTCAAGATAAGGGTAGCACTGAGCATAGGGCGAAAAAGAAGTCAAGAAACGAAAAGCACACAAAGAAGGCTGAGGACTCCCAAGCCAGTGCGCAGTCCTCTGAGACGCAGTACACTGACCCGAAAGAACCTTCACCAGCAGTCATAGAGAAGTTTCTCGAAGAAAACTCTGTCAAGATAACGGATACTTTAGAGGGTGCAACGAAGCTTCATCCCATTACCTCTTTCTCTCACCTACCTACCTGCAACAGTGCACTGTACCGTCCTCTTGAATCTTTCACTTCTCCGACTGCCATCCAGTCAGCAACCTGGCCTTTCCTGTTTTCTGGCCGTGATGTAATCGGCATTGCTGAAACTGGGAGTGGTAAGACGCTTGGCTTCGGCTTGCCGTGCCTGAAAAACTTACAAGACTCGGCGAAGAAGGGAAAGCCTTATAAGCCGACAGCGGTGATGATTTCCCCAACGAGAGAACTTGCAATGCAGATACATGATCAGATCTCGAAATTTGCAGAATTAGTGGATATCAAGGTAGCTTGTATCTTCGGGGGTGTGAAGAAAGAGGAGCAGCGTGAGGCCTTGAAGACAGCGGCTATTGTCGTGGCGACGCCAGGAAGACTGAAGGATCTTCAAACTGATGGCTCGGTGGATCTAGGAAAAGTCAAGTATCTTGTTCTGGATGAAGCAGATCGCATGCTGGACAAAGGTTTCGAACAGGATATCAAGGATATCATCCGCCCCATGCCGGTGTCAAAGCGCCAAACTGTAATGTTCACTGCGACCTGGCCCCCAGTGGTTAGGGATCTTGCTGCAACGTTTATGACTTCTCCTGTGACGGTCACAATTGGTGGAGAGCCCTCGGCTGATCCGCGCGCAAATACTAGGATCAAGCAAGTTGTTGAGGTGGTGAAGCCGCACGAAAAAGAACAGAGGCTTGTGCAGCTATTGAATAAGTATCAGAAGGGCCCATCCAGCTCGGATAAGATTCTGGTGTTCTGCTTGTATAAGAAGGAGGCTGTGCGTGTCGAGAGACTTCTTTGGAATAAAGGCTTCAAGGTTGCCGGAATACACGGTGATTTAGGTCAACAGGAACGATTCAAAAGTTTGGAATCCTTCAAAAAAGGCGTCTCAACCGTTCTTGTCGCAACTGATGTGGCAGCTCGTGGTCTCGACATACCCTCAGTTAAGCTTGTCATCAACGTTACGTTTCCCCTGACCGTTGAGGATTACGTACATCGAATTGGCCGGTTAGTGAAGTACCTCGTCCCTGTATGTTGAGTATCGCCTACTGACTGGCCCAAAGGACCGGCCGTGCTGGAGCTGAGGGCCATGCCATCACTCTATTTACTGAGGTTGACAAAGCTCAGTCTGGAGCGTAAGTAGTCATTGTCTTGGAAGCATTCCGATCAAACTCAACCGAGACTGACATGTTATAGTTTAATAAACGTTCTAAAAGCGGCTAATCAGGATGTACCCGAGGATCTTCTCAAATTCGGGGCAACGGTTAAAAAGAAGCAACATGACGCATACGGCGCCTTTTATAAGGATGTCGACACCAATAAGACATCAACCAAGATCGTTTTTGACGATTGATGATGGCTTATTCGCTTTTGGACTTTGGTGTACTGGATGTTTTAAATTTCACCAGCTCGCGGGCTTTTGTGTAATAGATCAACAAATATTTCCGCTCGAGATAAGACCTATCCTCACCATTAGACTGTAGCTTGCATATAAAGTTGTGGAACTTACACGAGAAGAATATACATAGCTCCAAGTATCAGCGCATCTCTCGTCCTATAGATATCAAGAGCATATAGAACTCTTGAGTTAAGAACTATAGACATCGTGATACTGGCGATACAGGTAAGCGGCCGTGGGCTAAGTTCAGAAATAGCGATACCGCTTCCGTGTCGAGACATGAATGTCTGAATAAAGGAAAAGCTCCAGACGATACGAACTGCCATGTTAACAATATTGGCATAAACCATTCCGTGGGCACCGAGAGCGCCAACTTTTAAGAACAAGTACGCCGCGGATGCAAAGCATGCTGAAAACACACCCATCCATACCGCTTGTCTGCGTAATTCTGCTGAGTTTGCTGCTGATGAGACAAATGCTTCACTTATACCATTATAAGCCAGAAATGGTATATAATAGCAATAAAGTGAAAGCAGGCTGCTGATCCTGGGTGAAGCCCAGATGCGCCCGCCTAACAGATGTAGCAATTGAGGTGCCAGAACTGGACCGAGGGGAAATCCCACAACAGCCATCAGACTATATGCACGAAGAACTTCTGTCAACTGAGTTTTAGCAGCATTGATGTTTTCTACACGTAGATTCCCGCTCCCGCCAGAGTTTAGCAGTGAGGAAAAAAGCGTTCGACTGCTTTCTTCAATGGGCTGAAACAAGACGCGAGCCAGGAGACCACCGTAATTAGAGGCTAGTGCATATATGCCTTGATCTTCTAAGCTCGTCATTGTTGCCAGCATCATAGAATCACCCTGGGTGAGAAGATGTTTCACCACCGACTGAAAGAACACATTTGTGGACAGTCCTATCATCGGCCATGAGAATCTCCCCATGAAATAATCTGATCTGTGCCAAGACATTTGTTATCAGATAGAACATTGCAAGTTTAATTTTCCATGGCCTACCTTGACTTTATCTTTGTGGGAAACATAGAAAACTTCTGCTCGTCTGCAACCCTCGGTAGGGCTAGTATATAGCCGCAGATGAGTGTGGAAGAATAACAGAGATAACCAATTGAAAATGGGAGCACGCCAATGCTGTGGCCGGTCCTGGAAGCCCATGCACAAGCAAGGCAGGTCGTAAGGCTTTTTACAAAGGCTGCACTCATCTCAACAACTGCACGTTGTCTGTGTAGCATATATTGCTGCACTACAGTGAAGAAGGGCTCAGTGGAGAGCTCCATAAGGGATGCAACGGAAGTGATGATCACGCTTGCGTGGTAATAGGGTAACTCTGACACCTCTCTCGAAGCCAGCTGTATATAAGATGTAGCAAATGCCATAGCGAACAAAAACCCCAGGGCGAGGCTCAAGTAGGACATGTTCACTACTGACTGCAAGGCTATGTTTCGGGCCTCAGATACATCATTGCCCTTTTTGGGAGCTGTACCAGTGCTATCCTTGTGGGAAACCATGGTGAGGGGCTTGAGTTGCAATGGCTGTCTTTGAATAGCCATTCTGATACTTTCCCTGGAGAAATATAATATCGAGATGAAATATAGCTCCAGTTGGGACGCAACACCCATGATGGCTGGAGGCAAACTCCTTAAGACCAGCTGATTTGCGGTGAAAGTGAATATCCTAGAGGCCAATTGAACGACGATCAGCATCGTCGTCCCGGATGCTGATGATGCCAGCATTGCGCTGACATTCTCATCTACTTGTGACATGTGGACGGGAAAAGGCTCCCGGGCATCGATGACTTTTGTCTAAGAATCTCTGTGATTTCGTAAAGCTGGCCCTGCAGCTTGGGCTCGCAGCAGAAGAATTGATTCTCACTGGTAGAACCCCTTTCGGGGGAGAGGGGCAAGGAATAGAATAAAGATAAGCCCGGGGAAAGAAATCCAAATACCACTCAATGGGAGGAAGTATATGGGGTCCAGCCGAAAAGGCCACGTGCTTTCAGTGTACGAGTTAGTGGTAAGTTCCCGTTCCCGTGCTCTGGCGTTTATCTGCCAGTGTCTAAGCTCCTCCCTTCGTTTTAGTTAGCACAAGCACTGTTTGTGCGCAGCATTGGCTAAGTCTATACAATGTTACGTAATTATATACCATACCTTCAAGATCAATTAAGCACTTTTTATGTTGTATAATCCGGTGTTCCGAGATTCTTTCGAAGCTTCTTTGCGCAGGTCTTTAGTACATTGGAGGAGTCACTTTACATCCTGGCACATGCAACGCGCATAACTCGTGCTCGATTCGAAGCCGATAAAGCGAAAGCCATGTGTGTTGACACCGAGCCACTGGCCATTGAGCTTCCTGCTCTAAGAAGGACTAATTTCTCACTGCCTACAAGGAAGCACCTATGAGGTGGCTGTAGCGGCGGCTATATTATTTCATGTTGATACACTGTGCGAGAAAATCGGAGTCTGACCCTTGTGTACCTAAGTTGCAATAGTTTACTCCATACTGAGTTTCGATAGTTTTGAGAATTGCAGAGTTTAGAGTGAGCATGCCGCCACTTTACTAGGCTCAGCGATGCCACGACAAGTTAAGAAACTCTCGGGCTCCCTTGAAATGAAGTCGCAGATAAGCCCACTGTAGACCAGTGTTTGGAACAAACGATTGATACCCGATAAATAATAGTGGTCAATGAAACAACTAATTTGCGACTCCCGCCCTTATATAGTTCATTCCATTGACCATCTAAGATGACAGTTTAAGCAGATTCTCGACGTTTGGAAGAAGAGTTGATCCACCATGTTACTATACAGTAACTACACGATAACGGAGGAGCTTGGACGAAGGAAAGGAGTTGAGATAGTAGCATACTGCTACTACCTTAGAACGACCGCTAACCCCAAGCAAACGTGTTCACACTTGGTCGGACTGAATAGCTCAGGCCGATAACGTACATAGGAAATCCTCTAGAATGGCGGAAGAAAAAACGGATATCCCCCATTCTTCGTCTTGAACACACTCAGAAGGAAGCTGTACATACCAAGGAGTACGGAACCCCAGATGATCACAGCTACCTGTTGTGCCTTGTTGTCTGCGATACGGGGCACCTTCATTGCAAGGGCAATTGTCGCAAAAGATAGGACGGCATCTGTCGACAGCATTAGCGAATTAGCATCAGATCCACATATGAGGTTAGATGTATGCATGTTATGAAGGGCAACGTACAGATGGCAGCAACAATCTGCGTCTCCATGCCGAACTGGTTTGAAAATCCACCAGCGAAGTAGCTAATACCACCTCTACCATCTCCGGCAACATATGGGACTTTGCGAATATGGTTGAACATGTGGCCACTTGTGAATAGGAGGATGGCAATCAGACTGAAAGCAGCCCACAAGTTCCGGTTACGAACAATGGGAAGGACATAAGGTGACAAAACTGTAAAAAGGGTCACAGCACCCATCAAAATGGTTATGCCGGAGACAAGTCGCATGTAGTTGATCGGACGAACAAGTGGCGGCTTCGGGCCCTCTGGAAGCTGACGGTTCATCCATGTATATAGCTGTTCAGCAGAGATAGGGCTGTAGGTCGACGTCAGTGATAATCAATCGACTAGTAGATTCAGTATATAGTTACCCGCTAAAGTCAAATCGCAGAGGTGCGTCGTCAATCTTGGCGAAGGGGCCAACGGTAGGAGGAAAGACCAGGAGAACAGGCGCAGTTTGGAGCATCAACTATTCAATGCCAATTGTGTCAGTTGAAAATTCTAGACTGCTAGGCCATGTATTGCTGGATACCTTCTGAAAGGTCCCCTTTCCATCGGAAAAGTCAAGGGTCCCGAAGAGCATTTGAAGTCCGTCGGGCTTGGGACCTTTGTTCCAGCTTCGTGCTATGAGCTCCCACTCAGGTTGAAATTCGCGACAAAGAATACACCCATAGCGAGCGTCTGCGGCTGTCAAAAGCACTGCGACATGATAGTCGCGAGGCTTAGATGTTATCTCTTCGTACGATGAGTCGTTCAGTTCGATTGGGGCGGAGCGAGAGAGTGAACGATATCTCTCAAACTTGTCTGTGTCTGCGAGGCCGCAAGAAGCGGAACTGATCATGCAGAGAAAAGACAAGAGAAGGTTGAAGAGCTTCATTTTAGCATGACAATGCAATCGTCAGTTCTGGCGGTGATAAGGAGGCGGATCAGCAATCCGCGAAGAAATTGGCCATGTAGACAAGTTCATGGATGGATAGGCAGCGGAGTACTACGTATCCGAGAAGCCTAGGATGATAGGTGTCCACAACGCGTACGGCTGAGCGGGTCGCTATGCGGGTACTCCGTACTTCTTACTACGTACTAAGATGGTACCTAGATGAGTACGGCTACAGTAAAGGAATTAGACAACTAACTACATATTGCCGCTCAGTCGGGCGGAACGAAGCCGATGTTCTTTGATAGAGCCACTCTTTTAAATCCACTGGAAGCCGAATTGAGAGTAAAAGCCTATAATCAGGCGGTGTATTCCCTGCAACGCTATCCCAACAACCAAGTAGGGCGCCGATACAAACTGGTTACCCAATAATGTTGTACAGGATTAGCATGTCACAAGACAGATGGGACTTATACGTCAAGAATATCTGTCTCAGCAATACAGTGGATGATTACTTAGATCATCCTATGTTCACTAGTCGCCTCTTCAGAAACGGACTGGTTTGCGGTGATGTGCCAGCCATTGTCGATGGTGAAAGGCACCAACACAGAGTCCCAGGACGCTAAGGTTTGGGGACATCCCAGGCAATCCTTTGTAGGCATAGACCTACTCCAATTCGAGGTGTGTCAACAGTATAGTTGACTTCAGCTACGAATAGTGCTAGTCCAGCTTCAACTGTCGATGTATCCTCCGTAAATCAACCGGGAAATGTTTAGACCTTGACAGAGGTTGCTCGCCCCGATCCGCGCCCATTTACCACTTCCGCGGGAGCGCTCCGGCATCCTTTCGCGCGTCACTTGTCATTATTCTATCGAAGTTTGCCAATGCTGCAACCATGCCACTCGTTCTATCTATGAAGTGTTTGCCCGCAACACAGGGCATTGGCCTGCTTAGTTCTCATATTTTAAAGCGATTTTCATCCTCAAAACGATGGCAAGCCCGTCAGCTCAAGGATCGTTTCACAAGGGAAGCAGCAGTGCAGGGCCTAAAAAGCCGCGCGGCCTTCAAGCTCCTCCAAGTACTTAACCAATATGACCCGCCATCCTATACATCCTGATAATTTCTTTGAATAGATAGACGAGAAATACCACATCTTTGAGAGCGGACAAACGGTTGTTGATTTAGTATGATAGCCGCTATTAAGATACCTCAACAAGGGCCATGTTGATTGACAGTATAATTCACCAAATCTAGGGTTATGCTCCTGGCTCTTGGTCCCAAGTGCGTCGAGTGCAGGGTGAAGATTATGCCAATCAAAGCCTTGGCTAACACCACATCAGGTAGCAGTAGCTAGAACGCAACCACACGGCCGTGTCCTTGGCGTTGACATTATTCCGGCCCAGCCCCCCAAGGGAGTGTCTACGATTCAAGGCAACTTCCTCGACCCGAATATCCAGGCCTATGTACGCGAATTTGTGCGCGACGCCAATAGGGGTAGACCACATCCTCCAAGTACGATTTTGGATGCCGAATACGATGACACGCAGCTCAAATCGAATGCGAACGCGAGCTCTGATAAGCAAACCGACCCCAAGCAATGGGATCGCAACTACTCGGTAGATGTTGTCCTAAGCGATATGTCCGCTCCCTGGTTCCAAACAGCGGGGTTTGGGAAAAGAAGTCTAAGTGATCCGTATAACAGGATGATGAACACAAGCGGTATTAGTTTCAAAGACCATGCAGGTAGTATGGTAAGATGCTGAGTTTGCCCCATACTCGAAGTTTCCCTCAGCTGATGGGAAATAGGATCTTTGCCACGCAGCTTTGCAGTTCAGCCAAGAAGTTCTCCGCACTGGAGGGCACTTCGTCTGCAAATTTTACCAAGGAGCCGAAGATAAGGCCCTAGAGGAACAGCTCAGGAAATTATTTCGGAAAGTCCACCGCCTTAAACCGGAATCGTCGCGCAATGTAAGCATCCACTGGCCTCGTAAAACACAGCAATAAACTGGCCTTCAAAGTCCTGAACATCTGTGCAGGAATCCAAAGAATCTTATTTCATTGGTCTCGGTCGAAAATAGTACCCAGAGTCAGGTATGTCCTCGGAAATAGATGAAACATAGTATGATGAGGTGCTACATTTCGATGGCATTTGTAACTGACCTGCCCCTTCCTTAGCATCAAACCGGGCTCAGTCATATCTCTTCTGCTGAATCGAAGTCCTCATCCCATTCTACGTCAGCAAGTGAAGCCTCTGCTGTAGCATGCACCTTGGGATATTGTCAGTGAATTGCCTAAAGCCAAAAAGGACAAGGAAATCCGGAGGTGGCTGGAGTTCGCATAACATAGGACAAGGACAAAAGAAGGGCTAAATGGAAAGAATGGATAAACGAACCTCCTTGAGACCGCTCAGTTCTTCAACGTACCCAGGCTCATTCAAAGCCCTTAGAACGAAATCCCAACCGCCCTCTTCGTAAGCGCGGGTGATGTTATCTGAACAAGCGCTGCAGTGTTTGTAGCTTCTGCCCGTGACTGGAATATTTTCGAATGTTGCAAGGAATCCCCTGACTTGATGTGGCACGAGTCCCAGTGGATGGTCTCCTCGATCATCACTGCGCGAGGTCGGGGCCGGTGCTGCAGCACCCAGAGGATGTTGAAGAAGGGAAACAAGCAACTCTACCAGTAAAGCCGAAGCTATGGCGGCCACACCAGGCCGAGTAACGGTACATTGCTGATCAAGTGTTTGATCTTTGACAGACTTCAAATATTTTAGCATAGCGACCTCTAGGCCGGAGTGGCTCTACTCACGTTCATTGGTGCAACGACATCGTTACAAAAGTAGCACCCGAGTTCTGTTGGTGGCTCTGCAATCGCTTTGATTCCATGTCGCATAACCACATAAGAATCGAAACCGAGGGCCGCATTCATAACGATCTTGCCAGCTGCCTTCCCCATGACCGTTGGCAGCCAGCGTGCTTCGCGCGTATCCATTAGGAGAAAAATGGCATCATGCTCTTCAACAAGTCTCTGGAGTACCTCAAATTCTGCCCGGGACTTTTCAGCATCAATGACAGGGTGTCCAACCATGGGTACAGAGAGGACATGGCCCGTAGAGTTGACTCCAGGGTAGATTTCCAACAGGGCCTGAGACGCACGAAGAGCCTTCTTCACCCCACCATCTATACAATCGGCAAAGTTGTAGAGTGGTTGCCTCACAGGGTTGGAGAACGACACGGACCCATTATCCACAAAGGTGATTTTAGACACCCCCCAGCCCTATTCTCATTATCAGATGCCCATACATACTCAGATCTCCCGAGATTTTCGTACCATCAAATTCCTCGCAACATAGCTCCCGAGGGTTCCCGCCCCCAATAGGAGGCACTTGGTGTGCTTGATTTTCTCGAGGTTAAGATTGGGGCTGATACGCCACTTCATGAGCTTAAGATTCAGATCGACCGACTGATCGGCTAGTCTGAGGTTTGGATTAGTATATGATACAAAGAGGCCTCAATAAGGAATGTGATGACCTCACCTCTTAGGATCCAAGTACTCTGTGAGGTTAACGAAGCGACCTGTTAATTTACCGGCTGGATTACGCTCCCAGCCGGTCACCTTCGGCATATCTTCGCTCAAATTTTGCGACTCTGCAGCCGGTGCTTGTATGTCATCCGATTGCAGAGTCAACACTGTGCTTTTGTACTGACCGCGACTGGGATGCGGCTGCATGTCACGGTATCTCAGTACCTGGATCTTATTGAGTCCCCACCGTCGTTTTACAAGTACCAGAAGGTTCCTCAGCATCCAGCCGGGTGCATCCTCGTAATTTGAAGGATCAGCGAAACAGACGAAGCAGTCTTCAAACCTGGCTTCTTTGAAGAAGCCATCCTCGTAGGCTAGGAGAGGAGCAATCCTCCACCGTGGGCCATCGTGATTTGATGATTCCGTAACATTGTCGGTGATCCCTGAGTTGCTTTCAACTATTGTTCCATTGCTGGCACCATGAACTCTCCTGGCTAAGAAAAACCCTCGCTGGCGGTCTTCTACACTGTAGCTCCATGTCTTGATTGTTTCCACGAGATTTGATATTTCAGCATCTTTTAGACCTCCAGCTGGTGACACAGCTTCTCTAGTCTGACCGGAGTTACCAGCTTCCTCGGTCTTCTCAAGAAGGGCCCAGGAAGGGCTCGAGTGCAGCGCCGGAAATGCGAACCAATAGTGAAATTTGTATTTCTTTAGATCCGCGTACGACAAGATGAAAAATGACGCAAGCAAAGAGGGGCACGAATAGATAGTGCCGTCGCATATAGCATCCCAGATCTAGTATGTCTACAAGTCAGCATAACTCTGATTAGCCCATAAGTGTGTGCCCAACCGTTTTCGCGGACTGCTGAAGAATATGTGCCTTATCGATGTTTGAGTACTCTTCAAGTGTATTGACATTCTTGATCAATCCTTCAGCTCGATAAAACCCAGCCGGTGTTCTGGTGACCAAGCGGCTTGTCAGTATATCATTGCTCGTAAACATCCAAGCCCGCAGTAGATCATAACTCACTCATCGCTTGTTAGGGCGTTCCCATGTATCTGCATTCGACAGGAGGCATTAGGGAGGTCTGTAGGTCGAACTTCATAGAGACCTAGCACTTTACGGGCAGCATCGTCAAGCTTGTCGTGATTGATCTTGAGTGATGATAAAGCCGTATAAAACGGGAACTCTATATCGGAAGCGAACGGAGTGTAGCGCATGATTGAGCTCATCTCCTCTTACAACTGGGTTGAGATGTCGGTGCGTTCCTCGGGTGTAGAGGAGCTATTTGAGTAGGACCATATTCCACGCTGAGTGAACTGATCTTATGAGTGTAGCGGTCTAGAACAGCGTCCGCACGATTCTTGTGCTTTCACTATATACTCGAAATACCGTAGGGGTGAGGGGACCCTAAGCGCGTCTGCTGGGGAAGAGGGGGTGATCCGTTATCTGTGGTGGGGCAAGAAGTCACAGGGCATAGAATCATTAGTAACTTGGTTACCCCACCCTCTGGATCAAGATACGACCTAGCCTTGGTACGACGTGTCGTATTTGATATTGCGTGGTGCACTCCGCTAGTACTTGGTATGTAAAAGATAGAAATAACTTATCACTTGAGTAGTAGGTACAGGTTACAGTGTTCCTTACTACTGCATTGTATAGATACGTGTCGCTACGCAGTGGTCCTGCTAGATTGCGCTGCCGGGACCTCAACGGTATTAACCCCGACTCACGTCTAAGGTAGATTAGCATGCAAACCACCTCTGGCTATAAATATTCCCAATACAATAACATCATGACTATGTGTAAGCTTCATATGAGACTCGCTTTTGCGATATTGTTAGAATGTTGACACGTCTCTGACTTTCGCTGATTACGTCATAAGATGCTTATGAACGTTCTGACCAGTGGCTGTATTGAAGTAATTTCATTATAAAAGCCTCACAGATGAGGTGTGGAAGGATAAATGCATATTTACAGAGACCCGTATGAGGACTAGCGGATGTGAGCCTTGTGACGCAAGGCCGCAAAGTTCCCTCCTCTGTTGGTGTAAAGACATTTGCAAAAAAAACTGCTAGCCAAGCGAGATAACAGAATCAATAATAGTATATCCACCCACTCGTAGATGCCGTGTACATGTGCAGGTAAAGTCAGTTAAGCGGAGAGTTCAGAATACGGATAGAGTAGGTCTCCCATCACACGCAAGCTCGCTTCGGTTAACCAAGTATGTCAGTTTAAAGAAAACAGAGCGTGCTTGTATAACTTGCAGGCTGATTCGTGCTCCATGAGGAATAATGTGGTCAAAAATCTCACGATCGGTCAGAAGCATAGCTTTAATTGCCCACTTCAGGCCTGCGGACGAGAAATCCTCCATTGTCCAAGTGACGTTTGACATCGCTGACAGTATATTCACCTCGGTGGAACTGTGAAAGTTTAGATAAGAAATTAGCCAACTAAACGGGTTCTCGACCGGTTTGAACGAAATTATTACTTACCATGCCAGCGCCTAGGGCGGCATCAGTCGTAGTATTTTGGAAGACTTCTGCAAAATGTTCGGGGTTTCCAGCACCGCTGGAGGCAATCACTGGTATCTTAATGGCGGCTTTCACATCACTGATCAATTCCAGATCAAATCCGCTGTTGCTTCCGTCCTTGTCGATGCAATTTAGCAAGAGTTCACCAGCACCCATTGCTTCAACCGCCTTCGCTAGTTGCCGGACGTCGAGGTCTCGAGACTCTCTGCCACCCTTGATAGTGCATTGGTACCAGCAAAACGTCTGGCCAGCAGCATTCGGGTACTTTGTCCGGATTGTATGATGGTTGGTATCTTCTGGCCCGTCCACATAGACACGTTTAGGATCCACACTCACGACCACAGCCTGGTTACCATATGCTTTTGATATAGATTCTATAGCCGTCTTGCCAGTCAGCTTTTCGCCCCCTTCATAATACTCCTCTGCTGCGATAACAGCATCCGAACCGATGCTGACTTTATCGGCACCAGACTTGAAATACATTGTCGCAACATCAAGGGCTGAGACGTGAGTGCCATCTGTGTCAATAGTGTCCTTGATACCGCCCCCGATAGTCAGCGGTACGAAGACAGTTTCTGAGGTCCTCCTGAGGATTTCCAGCATGGGAGCATCTGCAACAGGACAGTTTCTGAAGGAAGTGATGTTCAAGAACGTCACCTCATCAGCCCCTTGTTCGTAGTACTTCTTGGCCATGTCCACGGGCTTCCCTAAGTTTCTGACTTGGCCTCCTGTATCTACCCCGTCCTTTTCACGAACATCATACTGGTCCCCTTTCGTGACGACGAGATCACCAGAATCATTGGTGCGAACATCAAGACAGGCAATGATTCTACGTGTCAGCCCATCTTTTTTGTCCAAGGAGAGCGACGCTTGCGGGGTAAGCGTTTGAAAGCGATCACCATTTAGGAAGGCGCTAATAGTCCGTAATCCAGCCTGGCCACTTTTCTCCGGGTGGAACTGAGTCGCGAAGACATTCTCTCGTGCAATAGCACCGACAAATTCTTCTTCGCCGTAAGTAGCTGTGGCGACTGACCAGCCATCCTTCTCAAGGAGCCCTGGGGTGTAGAGAGCTGCGTAGGAGTGGACGTAGTAGTATTTGCTGCTTGGGACTAATCCGTAGAAGCTCTGACTATCCGCAGACCCAATTTTGGTGTCTATAGCAGAGTTCCAGCCTATGTGGGGTACACTCTTAGTGTCGGGATTGAATTTCTGCATCCGCATCGGAATCAATCCCAGCCCCGGAACATCTGAGTCCTCCTCAGACCCTTCAAAAAGTGATTGTAGACCAACACAAATTCCCATGAATGGCTTCCCGGAAGCTATGTGTTGCCTGACCGGATCCAAGTAGCCTCCCTCTGAAAGTTGAGATAAGCAATGGCCGAAATGACCGACACCTGGTAGGATGAGCTTCTGTTAAACAGTTAGCGCAACATTGTGTGGTTTGTAATATCACTTTGTTTTACCTCTGCATTCTTCAGATCACTTGGAGACTTAATCCATTCCACCTCATAGCCGACTTTGTTGATCGCATTGACCAGGGAGCGGACATTTCCGGCGACGTAATCTAGCAGATGTACCGTAGGCATTGTGGCATGTGTTCTACCAATGTCTTGTGCAAAAATGCTCTGGAAATGTTGAACAGGGGTATAGGTCTCCGCTGGTTTGAAGGCCAGTCTTTTTGCGGCCACTCCCAGCAGTAGGTCTTCGAAAATAAAGTCTTGAGAATAGAAAAAGTCGCAATTTGACTTGGGACGATTATTCTTCTTCACCCCACCATGGCTGGCCATGCCGAGCTGAGTCATTCGCAAGAACCCACTTTTAGTTAGTTACGTTAATTCAGTAGGTAAGTATATCTCCAGTTATGATATTGCTCTCTCTCCATAACGATGTGTATATTCATTACTCCTAAACTCCATCTTGCTCTTTCTTGCTTCCTATAAAGCTTTCTTGCCCTTCCAAAATTTACCTCTTTAAAGGTATTTTTGTAGTCTGACTGTAATCCCTAGCTCATTTCTCTTTCACTCCCTAAACCCCGATCCGTATGTTCCGCCTTTGGTACCGATTAATGCATTTTATTGCTGGTCAATTGGACAGCGGGACCCAATAAAACCTTGACCGCCTTTGCCATGAGCATTGAAAGCATTGATTACTACGTATCTATATCCCCCCTCCCCACGCCGCATGTTTCCCTACCTGTAAGCAGATACTAATATTTCCTTCCTCCTGAGCCCAGTTGGCGCCTTACCTCTGAGCAGCCACCATTTAACTTACAACATTTCGTTCCACCATGACATGCACAGCACGGGAGCATCGTCCGTGTTTTCAAGTCACACAATACAACTGCAGGTGACTACAGTACGTAAACAGCTAACCGAAAGATAGCCTTGTGTTAAGCCCAACAATCATAGAAGTGAGCAGAAACACCCGAACTCTATAGGAGCCGGCCGCAGACATAGCCGGCAATATACATCTATATACTGCATAGCGTCTTAGTACTGCAGATGGACATGTGCTAGAGCGGATAGAGCCTAAATTATGAGCTAAAATACACTCATATACAGCTTATCTCCGAAGTTCTTTAGTCCCATGACCTAGGAGTATGCAATCTGTACAGATATTCCAAACCTGAATCTACTGATCCGAGTAGCACCCATATCAAGGTTGTACCAACCTACTTAAGTATGCCCGGAACTCTCAAGATAAATGAGCCCTTTTCGAGGCTGTCAACAACATATTAGCGATGACTGATGAATTGCTGAGGGAGTGCCCGTACCGGAGAGAATTGCCTAAGTTTTACCCCGGCCGCATTCAGAATCGCAGCGCTCTTCTATGGTCAGCGAAATGACAAAGTGAGGGCAGCACAGAACATACATCGTTATCCATATTATACCCTTGCGAGTATACGACTTCCGTTATCCCAACTTGTGTAATTTTGACGGTACATGTCAAGCAAGGGCACCTGATCGGTTTGAGCAATGTGCCGTGCATCTCCAGACGTTCGGGGATTGACGTACGTGTCACAATAGAGTATTGCACCCTCTCGTATGCGCTCTCTTCCGGCTTCCAACAACGCATTCTCTTCGGCATGAAGGCAGAGGCAAGTTGATAAACCTACACCTCCACCCTCACCACGGTTGCACCTTGGACCTAGCCGTAGTAAGTGTCTAAACATTCAATCAACAGAACAATATGCAATCTTTAAAGGTTTCATACAGCCGCCCTCATTGCAATTTCTAATGTGCCTTGGGGTCCCATTATACCCTGTACTTATGACACGACGATCACGGACAAGCACGCAGCCCACCCTTCGCTTCATGCAGTTACTTCGCTGAGCGGCTAAAGATGCCAGCTCCATAAAGTACTGATCCCAATTGGGCCGTAAGCGCTGCTCGTCGGCAAGATTGAGAGCCTTGAGAGCCGCATGCAGTTCATCGAATGACGAAGAGGAATTAAACAGTCGTACTTGTGCCCGATCAGTGAGATATGCGCGTCCAACATCTTTGTCGTAGAGATGTCTGTCGTTCCATAGTACAAATTTCTCCAAAGACGGGGGTTCGACCAGCCTGTTTCGGCATCTACAGATGGTGTGTTAGCTTAGCTACGATGCTCGTAAGGTTATCAGGGATCCAGACCTGTCCACAAGTCGCTTCCATCTCAAGCTCACCGGCGCATCAACGCTAACTAGAAGGAAGAATGGGCGTTGAAAGAAACGATCTAAGATAGTAACATCCCAGATGTCCGTTGTAACCCAATGTTCTTGCCATCGTTTGGTTACGAAGTCTAAGAGGGCCTTAGAGTCCTCAAATATAAGGTGCGGTGGTGGACTACTGTCATCCTCTGCAGACTCCAGCGCCTGTAATTGGCGATCACCGTCGGCTCCATCAGTTACCCGAGGGGAGTCAACATCTTTCAATTTGAGAAGCCGGAAACCTTCCTTCTGGATTAAATAATCTGCGACGGCATGCTTCCCAGAACATATGGCTTTGCCGCATACTATTAGCATATACTGAAGACTCCAAGGCACGCTGCTTGGCAAGATGCTAACCTCCGCATAGGCCTATTAACATGATTACCTGCCTGGTAAAACCAGTGTAAAGTTGAAAGCCAGTAAGAATGGATATGTGCGCGCCCCTGAGGTTGGGAGAGGGGGTGGATCCTGGGTTGGAGAGAAGGGCATGCAAAGGTCGGATTGAGCTGGGCCAATTGAATACGTAGGGAAATTTTCACATGTACATCTAGGCACCAGGTACGGGGTGCCAGGAACAAGAACCTGTAACATATAAACGGATTGATACACACATAGATAATTACCCGCTCACACCCCCACTTTCGCTCACTGAATTTCGATCAAATTGCGAACCAAGGCAATATATGCTTGGGAAAGTAGCGGCTCAAGTAGCCAACTGGTATGATTTTCTCTCAAGAAAGGGGCAAATTGCAGTGTCAGTAATGATTTCATTCAAGCCCGTGCTATGCACCCCCGTGGAGCTCTCGGCGATCACCTAAGTATTCATTATCCAGTATTGCAAGTACTTATTTGAACACTTTCATCATTTCGATGCATGCAAGGCTGTATTCACTGATCTGTAGGGAAGTAATAGGAAAGTGCACGCTTTTCTTTAAAGCCTAATGAAGTTGAGGCTCCCGTGTTATCCAGTACGTATTTGGGTACGTAGGAAGCCTTATTCTGGCACCTATCTATACGCGGAATGCCATGTTTCTCTGTAGCCCAAAAAGAAAGTGGTGAACGCCAAATACTTAACTACATTGCAGGCCCATGGACTTTTAGCGCGTTTTCGTTCGGCAACGCTTCTTGTTACAGCTATTACTCTTGGGCAATTTGCAATACACACGTTTACCTTTGCTTCCTGGCCAACAAAAGCACGTACCAGAAGATAAAGTCAGTACCATGATTTGGGAAAGTTAAAGTATCTAAGCAAGCAACCTCCTCCGTAGTACTCTATACTTTCCACATCTGGCGTGAAACCACGTGACCAAGTGCGCTAGCTCGCCACCACGAAGACTGTTCCCGAACCGCTCCCCAGGCTTTGATCATACCCTTGCCATGTCCTAGAGAATGCACTGATCGTTTAAGATTGCCTTGTTTCTATCGAGTTGCTTTCTCTCGTCATATATTGGTCTTTTCCCTTTGAAAGTTATACTGATTAATTCAGCTTTGACGCCGTTGTCTCCCGCACCCAAGCCTGCGGGCATATTTCTCTTTCAAGGCCCTTTTCCTTCTTTGCGTCTTTGCCTCCCTAAGTCTTGTCCGCTTTGGTCGTATATACTATCTAATGCCTTGATTGCCCCAAAGCTGTTGAAGTGCGTCAAGGCTGTTCTCAACGACTACGTGAAATCATATCCTTTGAGCTCGGTCGCAAGCGCGAATTAGATGGATCGCGGTGTCTTTGATATTGCTTGACATACTGGCAAGGCCCGCAGAGCTTTCTATAACTCACATCATCTTACTGCAGACTAGTTGGCTTAGTCTCTGTATTCACCAGACTTTACACCTTGTTTGTATGCAGTGATTCGAACACTGGCCGTGCAGCACTCAAGACGCTTCTTCAATCTACTGAGTTCGAGCAAAGCCCTCGATAGATACTGGGTTTTCGATCTCTAAGCATTTGAGACGAGTGAGGTTATACGTCATAACTGTCATCTGCAATTTGCCAACCGTTCCGATTGTTGCTTGTTATCATTTGTCTGCCTTTGTTCTCGTGTATCTCTTGTGAAAGTGGCACCCCTCTATTGATCTAATTACATTCGCAACACCATCATTGACGTGCAATTGAATACAATGTCATCCTCTGTTCACTTCAAGTTCAAGTCTCAAAAGGAGCCTTCAAGGGTGACTTTTGATGGCACCGGTATCTCTGTCTTCGAATTGAAAAGAGAAATTATCAATCAGAGTAGACTGGGTGACGGGACTGACTTCGAGCTGTCTATCTACAATGAAGATACTGGAGAAGGTTAGTAGCTTCTGGAAATTGATTGCCCTGGTTTTACCGTTCATATTCAACTTTGGGTCCCCCCCAAATTCCCTTCCTTTCTCCCAAAATCCCGTCTGGCAGAGTGGGAGCAGGTTCGTGGTCGAAGTTAAGAGAAAAGATCCTTACGGACTGACCGTTTGTTTTTTGGGACAGAATACGATGATGACACCAGCATAATACCGCGTTCTACGTCCGTCATAGCTCGGAGATTACCTGCATCACGCCCGGGTAAGGGTGGTGCTGCTCGTTATGTTTCCGGGAAAATGCCAGTCAATGCGCGCAGTGCCCCCCGTAATGAACAATATCCCTTGACTCGGGCATCTCCCAATACTAGCAACGGTGTTCTAGAGCTCAACAATGCCCAGACGGAGGAAGAGAAGATCAATGCACTCTTCAATTTGCAAGCAAACCAATGGAAAGAACAGCAGCAGGAAATGGCAAAGTAAGTGTGTCTATGCGTAGTGAGACTTTTTTCTCTCCCCTCTTCTGGTATTGACAATCTATCTCCCGTATAGCGCTACCCCTGTTCCATTCGGCCGTGGAAGGGGCAGGCCTGTGAATGTTCCTGATCACCCCCCTCCCCCCGGCTACCTATGTTACCGCTGTCGCGAGAAAGGCAAGCTGCTTTGGCATAACTTACTGAAAGCGAAAACTAACGGTGTATGTCTAGGACACTGGATTCAAGCTTGCCCCACAAATAATGACCCAAAATTTGATGGGAAATATAGAGTTAAACGATCAACTGGTATACCTCGTTCGTTACAAACCAAGGTTGAGAAGCCGGAATCCCTCACCCTGGACGGCTCAAACGAGGATCCAAGGAACACAGGTGTCATGGTCAATGCCGATGGCGATTTTGTCATAGCCAAGCCTGACAAGGCAGCTTGGGAATTATACCAGGAGAAAGCCAAAGCCTCCGCAGCAGCCGCGGCAGAAGCGGCAGCAGCAGAGTACAGCAAAGAACTGCAAGCACGTGGTTTAGAGTGTCCGATTGACAAGCGAATGTTTTTAGAGCCCACGAGAACTCCATGCTGTCAAAGAACATACTGCAATGATTGTATTACCAATGCATTGATCGAGAGCGATTTTGTATGCCCTGGCTGTGGAACGGAGGGAGTGTTACTCGATAACCTTGCCGTTGATGACGAGGCTATTAGCAAGATTAAAGAGTACGAAGCTGAAAAGGCTGATTCGAAGAAAGAGAAGGACAAGCAACAGGCAAATGACATTGGTCCGGGCATTGACAAAACAGCCATTCAAGGCAAAGGGCCTGTTGCAACAACGGAGTCTTTGCCACCAATTCCGCCTAGTCAACCTGCTTCTAACAAAAGACCTGCAGAGGATGAAACTCCGCGTACCGCTGTTGGTGGATCAAGCCCTAGTTCATTGTCCAAGAAATTGAAGACAAACGACAAGGCCGATTCACAAACTCCACAGGCTACTGGGCCTGTGACCGGGTTTCCAGCTTTTCCATTCGGCCAGCAGATGCCGTTCGGGAGTTTTGGATTCATGCCGAACCAGGGTATGCCTGCGATGCCATTGTCTGATCCTATGAACGCTATGGGTGTTCCTTCGTCTGGTGGCTTTCCACCTAATATGGATCAGTCGTGGAATCCCATGAATGCTATGAATTTTAATCCTGCCCCGGGAATGTATGGCGATAATGTGAACAGTTATGCCACACCGAACCTTTACAACGGCGTCGGAGAGCCATCTATGAATATGTTCCACATGCCCCAAATGATGGGACTTCAACCAAATTCCGGTCTTGCGCAAGGTCCCGGAATAGGTCGATTTTCAAATCAACAGAGAACGACGTTCAGTACGCCATTTGCCAGGGAAGAAGACACGGCTTATTTCCGGCAACCTGTTAACCCACAACGGCACCAAGCGAGACACAGGAGGATACGGCCAAGTGACTATCGAGAACTCTAAATTGGTGTAGATGGAAGTCACTTCAACATGCCCGCGGTTGTTAGGTCTCAGGTCCTTCTTCTCCCGATATATCTTGCTTTTCACCCCACCCTTTTCTGTTCTTTTTCTTCCCTGATGTTCATCGGCGTTCACAGCTGCTCTTTGATTCATTTGTCTTGCGGGCATGTGCATGTTGCAGGCCTTGCCCCTTTGAATTTTGCACATTGTGGGAGTTGAAAGGAGGTGGTTCCGGCTCTAACGGGGTTGTTATTTGAAGGTGCAATTCAATGTACACAATGTAATATTAGCGCCACATAAACAATATGCCTAATAAAAAGTCCAGCTACTACTGATGCGTTCAGTAGGTGCAAAGTGGTTGTAGATAAAAATCTTCATGAGGCCTGCCTGAGTCCAAAGCGGCTCCGCCATTAGGTATCCGTATATAGGAATCGCCTTCGTGGAATTGAGATATGTCGGCCACTAAACCAGGGCCTTAATCAGACGACATTCAAAATCCAATGCATTACAATGTTTGGGAGGCCTTTGGATACCCTTGAGTATATGATCATCCGTGGGTAAAGTTATCCGTCGCTATCTACACGCATAAGCATCCGAGGGTTTTGAGAGGTTCTATATAGTCTACTTCTCTCAAATGCTATTTCCTATGGAAAGCTACGTCTATATGAGCAGCATAGACGTACAACTATTCATAATTACCTACACCGAATTGCCTTAGGCGTCTTATCAGATGACAAGAGTAAATTCACTAGTCGGTCAAATACAAAGTAGTAAGCTACAGAGTACTCCGTACTACACCATGCAGTATGTTCGGCCTGACTAATGGGAGCCCCACATGTCAGTTTAGTACTCCGTGGTAACTACCTAGTCTCAGGAATTCACGGCAGACCACCCCAGTTTATCCCATCCCTAGTTACCAACCAATTTCTAGTACATCTTCAAGCGACACCACATCTCTATACCGGCCCCTCGTCATTACATCCTTACACTATCGCGACTGTCAAAGAAGGTTTCCACAAGATATTTAGTGGACCCAAGATTTTATACGTATTTTCAAGCAGCGCTCACCTGTTCCGAGAGATAGCACCCCTAATCTTCAACCTAAAAGATCCATCATCATGGCCAAGTCCTGGAATCACAACAGTAGTATCCGAAATCAGCTGCAGTGTACACTCGACATGCATCCCAAGGCTAGCGTGCTTGCCAGTTGTTACAGCGTCAAGTCCTCCACTTCCGTGATCGATAGTTTCCACTACTGCGCTACCGCGGGGGCCGGTACGATGTCCTTTTATGCAATCGACCGTTATGGTCTAACCTTCCTAACTACGTGCTAACTTGTCACAATCTTCCTAGGAACACAGTGGTATCCCTGAGGTCCCTTCGGGGTCAAAGGCGTCTCCAAGTCCTCCCTTTGGACTCTCCATCGCTCCAGGCATGGGGACTAGTTGGCCGGGTAATATATTACCGGAATATAAAGGGGAGGCAATGCATACTATCCCGGAAGAGTGTGAGAGGCTCTTCTGTGACATATTGTCTGCGATCTTCCTTGGTGAGAGGAGATCCGCTGGACAAGAGTCACTTGGGGTAGGTGCGTCTCAAAGCCGGCCGAACAATAATATGCCGATTGAACAGTGGTTTGAGCTGTTGGATTACACCAGCGACACTATACATCGAGGATTTGTAACCAATGCGAGCGGCGAACCGACTTTATTTGTTTTCCTTGCAGAGAAAGCACTCGGTCACGGTCTGAAAACAGGGTATGTGCACTAATGTTCTCGTCTGATTGTAGACGAGGTATAAACCCGTGGATATTACTAACATACTGTCATATTTGTTCCCGAAAGGTTGATTGCCCTATTTGAACTTGCTAATATATCTGCTTTTGGGTGTCCCCGAATTGTGGCATGTGTACCTCGTTCGCACGATGCAGTTGAACTAGAAGCTGTAAGGAACCTCGGTTGGTGCGGATTCAGTTTGACTACATTGCAACCGTGGGGTGCTGCAAGAGACGTCGAACGCTCGCTTAGCACTAAATGGCTTTTCTTGGATGCGGAGGTTTAGCTGTCGGCAACCAAACAGGTAGTTCAGTTTTTTGAGAACGAAATCGACTTAAATGATTATTATACCTGTATTGAGATCGACTTATGCTTCCATTCGCTAGTATGGCCGAAAATGGCTTCACTTTTGTAGGTAGCACATCAGTAGGTATTCGTAATCACTGATTGTCAGATGATCATGTTGAAACTCATTCCGGGCGCTAGATCGCCAAGGAGTGGGTGATGACCTCAGTATGATACCTACCCATTTCCAGATACCTCACTATACAAATGCCTCTTCCTCTGATCCAGAGGCAACCGGAATTATGACAACAACTCGCAACATCCCGTAATTAATTCTTTAATGCTCTCGCCGTTTTGTTGTTACGCGTGCACGCCTACCCACGTACTTCGCAGGGCAGATCCCATATACAAGGCTCTATGTTTCCTAAATTCTTGCTCCGGCCATCTTTCTTCCGTGATAAACAGCGAAGCGTGAGGTCCAGGGTGTCATCTTCGGAAGCAGGACCCGGACAATCTGTGAAGCCAAGTGATGCCAATTATCTGGAGGGCCATATCTCATGTATCCGCTGTTCATGCTGTGCAGCAGATATATGCCTGACGTCGCAGATAATCAGCAAAGGGTTCACGGGTCGCTACGGCCGTGCCTATCTTGTGTCCGGCGAGCCTTCGCTCGCCCGAAAAGCTTCACCTACTGATACACTTTTAAACACGGTGATACAGCAGCCCGTGCCACGGAGACTGGTCACTGGTGCGCACACAGTAGGCGACATTAACTGTTCCGTTTGCGGAAATGTGCTCGGCTGGAAATATATCGCTGCCGAAGAAGAGTCACAACGTTACAAAATCGGCAAGTTCATCTTGGAGACCGAAAGGGTTATGATATCTTCTTTTTGGGAATCACCCGACGTTGTTGAATCAACATTACTGCCCGCATATCCCGGTTCTACTGAGGTTGGACATGGCCAACCTCCTAACAGTATAGAATTTGATAGCCAGAACGAAGATGAATGCGAGGACTTATTCTCTGGAATCTGGACCCCTGGGTTGGCCGTACGCCGAAGAAATCGCAAACTGCCTGAACGCCGATCTTCTCTATTCGGAATCACAGCCCTGTGATAATGTTTTATGCTCTTGCGTCTAATGGAACTTCATGAGATCATGTTCGATGAAATATCACTCAAGGGCCCACATCTTCGGATTGAGTTCAGAATGGGCAAGGTAGCGTTGTTTATATGAAACTGCCTTGCCTTGTGCACCAGACGGCTCTAATTCCTTAATCTTTTCACCTTTCCTTCTTTATGAATATGTTGGGAGTTACATTCATCGGTAATGTTTATAATATGTGGTATCACAATAGATTTCAGACAAATTGGTGGCTACTGCTGTATAATGCGTAGATATCTCTTCGACCTCGCTTCATTGGGTATCATATCAGAATTATTGCTCTAATCCTTTGGGTAATGCCAGCATGAATGATCATTTTCTCACGTGAGTGCTAGCTGCCGCAAAGGGTTGATAGACAGAGCACCCGACCAGCCACGTTGATGCCTCTGGCGATCAGTATACCCAGGTTCATTCAAGTTCATCGCCTGCTCGTGCTCTCTTTGTATCGCCTCCCGCGCCCTCTTCCGGAGCCGATCGTTTTGCTACAGTGTCACTCTTCTGTGGTGGCTTGTTGCTCGCAGGTTTTCTTTTGATGAACGCAGAAAGGTCATTTGCTTCTCTCGTGACAGCATCGAGATGAGCCTTTTGCTCCGAAGGGGAATGCCCCATAATCTGACCCAAAATACCCTTCAGCACCGTGTTGTCTGCATCGCTATTCTCGATAGCAGATACTGGCGGGTGTCGAAGATCGACGAGCTGACAACGTTCTCAGTAACTGTAGCCGAAGCAAACATAGTAGGAAGGGATCGCGTTAAAGAGATTTGGAAAGAAGGTCGTTGCTTACCCTTTGCTCCATGTCAGCTATAATGTCTTTGACATTTGCTATTCTTCTCTTCATAGCGGTCACCCTGTCCTCATCCAACGAACTATCGTCGACCAACTTCTTCTGTTCTTGATCCATCCTTAGACGGCAACTTTCAATAGCCTTTTCCATTTGAGCTGCGGCCTCTTTCCTCATTTCCTCGTCGACCGGCTCTTTGGGGCTGGTGTCCTCTTGGGAGTTGTCATTCTCATTCTTGACGGAGCCAAATTCTAGAGCAAGGGAAAGCTTGTAGTGACATTCTGCAACAGAAGGATCCTCCATCGGAAACAGAGACTGCCTTAATTCTAGAGACGTCCTCAAGTCCGTCACCGCATCTTTGAACCTTTCTGCCTCCAGTGAGATCTCGGCTTGTAAATCGTAGGTATCCGCGAGACGTTCCTTGACGTGTTTGAGATCTGGAGGTAAACCTGCGGATTTCCCTTTGCCGATTCCTTCCTCTATCGTAGTCATCTTTTTGTGGTATAGTACACGTGCCAAGTCAAGAACTTCAAAGGCATTGGCAAAGTCGTCTTCGTCATCGGCCGCAGCTTCCTCGCCGTCGGCCTCGTCTTCCGAATCCGAGTCGTCATAGTTTTCGTCACCAGTAAATTGGAAGTACGGCTTAGCTGGAACATCACCAGTATTTGTCTTCTGGGCTCCTGAGGATCTCTCAGGTGGGCTCTGGGCTACAGCTTTCTCAACGATGCCTGCGGTTGTGGTTGTTGCCGCAGCGGATGGCCTCTCAATAGACGTGCTGCTCGGCTGTGATTCTCCAGCTACCTTGGACCCAAGCACATCGCTCTTGCTGACGGCAACGTTGTAGAGGGCTTTTCCGTAAGCGAATAGTAAGTCTGCATTTTCGAGCGCTAATTCTCCGTTAAGCTCTGCTTGAAGTTCCGTGGCCTCAGAGTACAGCTCTGCAGCGGCGTTGTAATCCTTGATGGCATCTTTGGCGGCAGCTTGCTTGATAAGGTCGTCCAAGGATGGTTGAGTCTTCGTACTATCGTCTTTCAGGGATGTACTTGGTTCCATTATGAATTTGTGTGGCTGATGGTAATATAATGGACGAGGAATGAACCAAGAACCAACCCGACAGGGAAATCCCTCCAAATGGCAGGGAAGAAGATGAGAAGGCGCTAAAGAGGGAATTAGGGTGAGAAGAGAATGTCACGAAAGGGCGCTGGCGGATTTAATGGTGCCTTTTATCAGGATAGGCCTGGTGTGATGATCAGTGCATAAGTATGGAAAAGAACGAGGATAATGGCCTTGTAGTTTGTCGCAAAAGTGGAACAAATCGCGTGGGGGACGCGCGTGCCGCCATCACCACCACCACGACGCGTTCTTGCTTGATCTACTCCGTACGTCAATGCCTCATCTAGGTAGGTAATGGCTAATCAGTCAACCGGTATTGGCAGGATCACCTTGTACTGACAGCGGAACTTAGTTTACTTTAGTTTTTTACTCGCCCTCTCCATTTCCTTGAGTATTCCCTCTACATCTATTCCGAGGAACTCTAAGGGTTTCTTGTCGTGACATTGTCCCCGCACGGTATCCGGCCGTTAGACGCGCATTCGACCAAGAGCGGATTTGCAATACCGGCGTCGCAGTCACTCACGATCTGCCCTCTCAATATGGACTCGGACCCCGTACCCTCATCATCACCCGGATTTGGAACACCCGCCTATCCTTTCCGAAAAAATAGACCCAATGCGCTGCCAACGAGGACATCGGTCCTTCCCATACTGCTTCCTCCTTCGACTCTTCGGCCTGTGGCCTTCCGTACCTTCACGCGCAAGCATAATCTAACAATATCCTCCTCTGCGCTTCAAACACTAGCCACCTTTGTGGGGAAGAATTGTGGCTCAGCATGGCGCGAAGAAGGTCTCGCAGAAAGAGCACTCGATGAAGTGGCTAAAGCCTGGAAGAAAGCTGGCGGTGGCGTCATTGTCGATGAAGGGAAAGGCGCCTCACTGAAAGCCATCCTCCAGACTTTAGAGAGCAATATGAGTGGGGGAAGGGTTATCTCTGGGAAGCACGCCACGCCAGATGAGGTCCCTTCGAGAACAACAAGCCCAGGCCAAGGAAACAGACGCTCTAGGGCCGATCCGCAATTGTATGCAGCGGCAGGGCTGGAAGGAGAAGGTTCAGCAGAAAGTTCTGACGTACCCTCACACCCGAGACATTGGGTTAGGGTTATCGAGGCTTTTGATATACCGCGATTGACCTATAATGCGGATAAGAGATACTTCGAAGTCGCAAGATCAAGGCCCACCCTGTTCCCTCCATCCTCTCACAGGACCAATCTGTTTAGGGATCGTTACAATGTTATCCATCAACGTCTGCTTCGGCATGAGTCATTCCAATCACCGTCCGGTCCCTCGCGTATCTTGCGGAAATCATCATCTTCTTTAGCGGTTACCCAAGGCTACAAGCTCACACCAATCGCGAATTTACTCGGAAGAAATGGCACATCACACCTTATTCTAGGTTTACTCTCAATGTCCCCAACGGGGGACTTGAATTTGAGCGATTTAACCGGGAGTATTTCTTTGGATCTGAGACACGCGCGGATGGTGCCTGAAGACGGAGCCTGGCTCGCTCCAGGGATGTTTGTCCTCGTTGATGGGATATATGAGGAAGAGGAAAATGTTAGGGGGTCTACTCTAGGCGGCAATTCCGGGGTCGGGGGTGCCATTGGAGGAGTTTTTGTGGGCGTTTCTATATGCGGTCCTCCTTGTGAGCGACGGGAGACATCTCTCGGGATGAATAACCAACAAAGTGGCAGAGAGGTCAGTTCCAGTGGGGGGCTTGGATGGATTGACTTCCTGGGAGTTGGAAGTGAACGTGCGCAGGGCCCGCGAATGAGGCATATTGAAGCCAGCTATCTACGAGGTGTACATGGAAGCGCTGAAGGCGACCGCCGGTTAAAGGTGGCTGCTTTGGGGGAGGTTAATCTGGATGATATGAGGACTTTAGATGCGTTGAGGAAGGTCTTCAGCGTCTATCACCACTTGCCTTTGGAGGAGCGTCCAAGCATATTTGTCCTGACGGGGAACTTCGTGCAGAAAGCCATCATAAACAGCAGTGGTCAGGCGGGCAGCATCGAGTACAAAGAACATTTCGATGCTCTCTCCTTGATACTGTCGGAGTTCCCTTCGTTGTTGCAGCACTCGACATTCGTATTTGTTCCGGGCGACAATGATCCATGGCCGTCGGCTTTCTCAGCTGGCGCCGCCTCCCCAATCCCACGCCATTCGATTCCAGAATTATTCACTACTAGAGTGAAACGAGCATTTGCTACTGCCAACTCGCAGTTGGACTCCTCTCAGTCGTCTGGGCCTCCTGGGGAAGCGATATGGACTTCAAATCCTTCCCGCCTTACCCTATTCGGGCCTGTCCATGATATTGCGATATTCAGAGACGATATTTCTAACAGATTGAGACGAAACGCTGTAAACCTCTCACATGGCGCCGACACCGCGATGGCTGAAGACGCGCACGCTTCTGCCGGGGAAACCGACCATCTCGAACCTCACAGCCATAGCCCACAGACAGGCATAAGCTCTAGTCTAGTCCCGAGTACAACCCTTTTCGCTCGAAGGCTTGTGAAATCGATTCTCGACCAGGGCACTTTGTCGCCTTTCCCGCTTTCTTTGCGACCCGTTTTGTGGGATTATGTCTCCTCCTTACAGCTGTATCCGTTGCCAACTGCAATCATTCTAGCAGATCCAGAGGCCGCGCCGTTTTGTATAACGTATGAGGGCTGCCATGTGATGAATACTGGCAGGCTTGTTCCGGAAGGCGAGCTATCCTTTGTCCGGTGGGTTGAGTATGATGCCATCAAGAATCGAGGCAGGATACAGCAGGAACGCTTGTAGCTGGGAAGTACGTAACGGAACTTATGCACTAAGTGCTAGAAACAGATATTTGTTTCTTGCGAGGTTAGGGACATGGTGTTATGTAGATATACATTTTTGTTTTGACGTACAATGAACTATTACATTCGCATCATGCAATGAACGGGTATTGTTATAGGACAGAATGGAAGCGATTTTCTTTTTTAAACACTCGGACTCCTGAGGCATACCTCCACACCTCATTAGGCTATATTCTTTACAGGACTTAGAATTTAACCACAATTAGCACCTGCCGAATCGCATGCATGCGTTCGGCTACCGCGGCAGCTGGCATAATAGGGAAGCCCCAAATCACAGAGCTCGACCTGTAGACACTGTACAAGACGCAAATGACGGTCAAGAAAACAAATACGTTTCAAGTGGAAAAATTCTATGCCTGAGATGCACTAGTTCAGGCAGTGGTGATAAGCGAGTTTTAGTCGATCATGATGATGTCCTCTTTCTGCGCTGCCGTGTCTGCCTGGGATAGATTGCCTTTGTCGTTCGGCAGGGTTGTAAGCGAGTCTGAGAGGGAAAGTTTAGCACCATCTGTAGTCCCTTTTTTGATTGCCAATGCCGATATTTCTGGATTGTTCAATCCAGTGTGATTGGCGGCATAATCGGTAGAATTGTGTTTGGGATCAGCCCGAGAGGCGACAAAGCACTTCTCAAGTTCTCGTAGAAGGTTTCCGACTTGATCGACTTCTGCCACGACTCCAGTTTCAAGTCCTTTCCAGCCATCGCCCTTCGACGTATACAGTGTCTGTCGGAGTCTGGCTGTGATACTGTCATCGTTCTTACTATTTCCTTGGCTGTTCGCGTCTTTGAGTACCCAAACCAACCGGTTCTGGTGCGAAGCAGCCACCAATTGAAATCGAGCCTCGTCCCCAGGGTAGTGAAGTTGGTACGTCTTAGCGTTGCGCACTGTTACGTGCAGTCTCAAAGGCCCGCTGTGTGAAGGATTGGCCATTAGCTGGTCCAAAGCCCTCATAAGGGGAAGTGTAAGCGTGAGAAGTTCAACAACAGTCTCAAGTCCCGCCTCGGTGGGAGAGCGGTTCAGACTGGACGCAAGGGATTCCTGGATCCGGCGGTGCGGGTTTTGGAGACCGAACTGTATGCCTAAACGCAGACCAAATAAGAACTCGCGCCTAGATGCCAGGTCGGTAGGGCTGAGCTTCATGAGTGATTCGTTCCTTGACAGATGTATATTGAGGCTAGCCGCAAGATCTCTCTCTGAACCATAAATAAAGGATATACTCGATAAAGAGAAGGTCCGAATCTCTACCTTCTTCCGTTGCAGTGTTTCAAGAATTGAAAGCACACACTCAAGCCTCTGAAGATTCTCAAGAAGGCTGACGATGACCGGGTGACCAGCAGGTGCAAGCAAACGCATCGCAAAGCCAGTGCCTCCCTTTTGAAATACTAGTGAGCGATCCCAGCTCGAGATAAGTGGACATAGAGTAGCCGTAGAGTCGACTAAGTTGCCATAAGCTACCATGATGGCGCACTTCTCACGGGGATCAACTCCATGGAAAGCAAGGCGAATGGTATCTCTTATGAGACTCTTCTTCTTTGCCTTGGCGGGCATGGCTACCCTAAAGACACTGGGAAGGGTCGATACATCGTACCGGACAAGGATGTCTGGGACCCGGAGATCGGGTTCGATCTTTAACTTATGCGGAGGAGGATGGAACTTGATAGACTGCAAGTCCGACAAGTAGCGTGCATTAGATTGGATAGCCAGAATTCCTGAAAGACTGTGTCCAAGGTTTGCGAGGTACGCATCGTCAATATCATAGCGTGCGGGGAAGAATGAATCTGTGACAACCTGAGCGGAACGGAGAATAGGCTGGCCACAGCCATTTGCATGAGGGATGGGAGGACCCTTTGCAGGCAACGTTGGGCGAAGTTGCACGACCCACCAAGAATCGCCATCCATGCTGCTAGTTGCTGCCACGATCCAATTTCGCCCCCAGAGCTGATGAGAAAAGAGTGTGAAGCGTAGAACATTTGGTGGAAAGATCCTTCGAATGTCAAGTTTCCATGCCCTCGGATTGAGTGGCTCGAATCCTAGCATTTTGACCTTGGATTCTATTTCCTCTATGGCTGCATTGCAGCGAATTCGAGCAACACGGGAGACTATGTCCTCAACAGAGGATCTTTCAGGATTGCGCTCCATATCAAAGCGGTCCGAGACAGTCGGGTTGGCTGACAGGATACTCACTCCGGACATGGGTTCAATAGAGACTTGAAGATGCCTAGTTTCAGTGAGCTGGACATCGAGTTGGCAATCACCGGGCTCAGTTCTTGTTAGGTGAGCACGCAAGGATAGGAAGCCAGTCGAGAAAAGCGAGCTTTGTCTTATCTTGCAGTAT